TGAGAGCATGAAACAATTAAAACGTGATTCAGAAATAAAATCCACATGTCCATACATTCTGGGTTTGGGCATTTTCTAGTTGGACCAAACCAAAAAAATGAAGGATAATATTTGCCAACCCCAATCCGTTTTTCACCCCACCCAAGAATCATCATAATTTTCTTGTATGTTCATTCGGCCGCGGCGAGTCACGAAACTGTGCGAACATGCAGACGTGGACCAACCCAGTTCAAACACAAACAGACAAAGACAAAAAAGGAAAAAAAATAAAACACAAACAGACATCCAAAACACACATCCATTGGGTCGTATCGCCTACACTATACAGCAAATGGAGGTTGGTAGTCAGGCAAATACAAGCTGGTGGAAAAAAAACGATTCTTACCACCTCAAAATGTAAATGGCCAGTACTTGTATAGGTGTCCTGAAATTGTGTGACAAAGGGTTCAAAAAGACCAATTTAGGACATTTCATTTTTTGACTCAATTTTTCGAGGAAGGTTTTAAGCATTACCTACACAATTCCTGAGATATTTAAAGAACACCACCCCCATAATTTTTAATATAGCATTGTGTCCTTTATGATTTTTATTGTGGTTGATGGATGCAAGATAGACAGTTCGCAGTCTATATCTACAGGCAATCAAATAGGCACTTCGTTCGCTGTCAAAAAAAGGTGCGGATTCGACATTAGGATTGTTTTGGAGGGGAGGGGTTAGGGGACAGGATACAATTCTTGAGATGTGGGATAAATGTGACAGAAGTTCAGAAGCTGATGAAGCTGGGAGACAAGGATTTCATTTTTTTACGGATTTTTGATGTTGTATGGATGTTGTGTTATATAGCTAACATCTCCAAGATTTAACATCATTGTTTTTTCTATGTTGGTAGGCTGGAGCCTTAGGAAATAATTTTGAACTTTCATTTTTTTCCCAAAGAGTGAACCTTCCTGGGCGGTCCGAAGGTGAAGATGGTCCTTTGATGTCCTTTGCATCGTTTCGATCAACAGCATGTGTCAAGTCAAATGAAATGATGTGTGCATTTTGAATTCCAGTGGCTCAAATGTCGAGCTACCTGAGATAGAGACTCAACCGTGACCTGTGCACATAGGAATGGGCATGGATGGGTATGGATTCCAAGAGGCCAGTGCTAGCATGTGCTCACCCGCGCAACGAGTTGAAACGCCAACAACCGTGAGGTTGCAATGGTTTTAACATGTTTTAACCAGTGCAGGGGCAGCTGCCGATCCGCCAACAGCACCCTAATACATCTAAGTTAATACCCATGCGGAAGTATGTGTGTGTGTGTGGGCTTGGGTGGACGTTTTAGGAAGGGTGAAGACTGACACAGGCCAAAGGCAACTGCCAATGTTCATACAGAAAGGCAACTAAAATTACTCCTCCGGTGGTTTCCGCTTCAAGATATTGCGTAATGTTTTGAATAGGTGCGCTTGCTAGCGGAATCTCACCACATCTCACCACTGCTGAAATCCAGAACCGGTATACCAATCAGGCCACATACTTCAGAAAGAAACCCTTGAGTTGCACATGCTGACACATCCTTAAAGGCACAAGAAAACTGTTCCCGCATGATCCGCATGCTGCAGCCAAGCCCCTGCATTTTACCTTGAACGGCCGCAAAACTCACAATCTCAATTGACCCAGCCGTCAGCTGCAATGCTGTTGTCACTGTGAAGTCAATTGGTCCTTTGGTGTTTCTTAAACACGGATAATACGGAGATCGCCAAGCATCAGCGATTCCCTCTTTATGTTTCTGAACGGGCAGAAAGCAGCACGATTTAAAACCCAACTCTTGAACATGTTGGAGGTTTTGTTGCACTTAATTTTGTCTCTTTCGGTTTGCACGCCATGTATCTCAGTTTGCACGCCATGCGTTTTTTTTCATGTGTTTCCACTTCGTCTCGTTTGACATTCCTATCCAAAGTGCAACTTCCTGCACAAACGCACGACTGTGATAGGGAAGGTAATGCGAGGTGATGCCATGAGTTCTGGGGTAGGTTGTTTGAACTTGCTGCAGTCTTTTGGCTCGTACAGCTGGCAGCTTAATAGCTAGCAAACTTCAGAAAGAATCAAGTGCTGTTCCGCGCTAAGAGTTTGTTTTTGTCAATTTGGACATATTTGAACCATTTGGCTGTTGGCTCATGGTTTGTTCATGCATTCAATACACTAAGGACGTACAGCAGCGCACTGATGCCTCGTGGTCACGGAAGAAGGCGACGAAAAGAAGTCGACGAGACTTCCGTAGAGGCCAGATTTGTTCACAGATTTGGTTTCAAAGGGCATTGCACATCACGAAAGGTAGCGTCAGCTACCTGAGTTCTCCGTGCTTCAGCACAAGCTTAGGGGGTATTGGGGGGCCAGCCCGTGCAATTCATGGAATTCTCGCCGTTATGTATTGGATATCAATTATAAGGGGAGGGGACCCCCCCCCCCGAAAATGGTCATGGGTTCAATTCCCACGGGTGACGCGGTCACGGGCCCCCACATTAGAGGCACACTTTCCATGAGGGAGATGTCCCTGTAGTCCAGCATAATTGGTATGCTTCAGCCTCAATAACAGTTGCTGCAAGGGGTCTTAAAAAGGGGTTTTAAATAAACCCCTTTTCGTGCATCATTTCACGCAGCACAAGACACAGTGTCATGCAGTCATGCTCTGGATAAAATCATCTTAGACTGCGCAAAAACGTTTTTGGTGTATCATCTTAGGGGCGCAGCATTTTGACACCACTCCTCTCCCACTACACTACCTTTCGTCCGCCTCCGCCTGCTCTCAAGTTGCGGGGGAACACAGCCGCGACTATGCCAGTGATGTTTTCCGGATTCAATTGACGTATATAATTCAGTGTTTTTTTAAGAGTTTCATAAATGATGGTTTTTTGAAGCTTCTAGAAACAAGTGAACGTGGGGGGTGCGAGTGCAACTGAACGTGGTGACGGACGTGCTCACGAACCTGCAACCAACGCGTACGAGTGGACGGACCTGCGCGCGTACGTGCGTGCGTTGACACGTTCGCCACGTGCGCGCACACGTACGAAAAGAAGGTCGACTCGAGTTTGACCTTATTTCTGATATTTCTGTACGTCTGAAGCTCCCCAATATTATATGTATATATATATATATATGTGTGTGTGTGTGTGTAATTAGTATTTGTTTGCATAATATACCTCGTACAACATACATGCATGCATGCATGCCTACCTACCTACATACATAACATAACATTACGTTACGTTACATTTACATTTACATTTACATTTCATTACATTACATTACATTACATTCCATTCATACATACATACATACATACATAATTTATATTTTTGTGTGTGAATCTTGGAAGGGTTTGACAAAAACGGACAGTTTGAACCTTCCTGGCCACTGGTTTGTTCTCATCGAATTGCGTAAACGGTGCACTCACAGCAAGGAGTCCAGAAAGCATGTGCTGTTTTGGTTGGTTTTTTCATCCGTCTTAACGTTTTCTGGAGTTTGTGTTGGTTTGTTTTGCCCGTGCGGGGGGAACTTGCCACAGAATTGCATTTTTTTAAAGAATATGCGCTGTCGGTGCTGCATATTCTTTGCATCTCTTGGCATATCATGCAGTTTGAGTTTTATTTTGTGAATTCCACTTCCCAACCAGAAGTCGATCAAAGTTGTTTTCAGGATGTTACAGTTTCCAAATAATGTTGTTTAATGTTGTCCACATTCTGGCGCGACTATTTTCTACAAGACACAGGCAGGGTCACTGGTATACTTGAAGTGAGGTGTTCTGGGGATTGCGGCATTACGTTTTAATCATGCTGAAGAGGTAGAGCATATTGTCTTGGAGGCTTTAAGTCTTGAAAGATTGCCCATGCCAAAAAAAACAGAGTTTTACACCTTTCACTGCACAGCTTTGTGAACAATATTGTTTGTTTCCACTCTGCGCGTGTTTAAAAGCATAGTTTCTTTAGGGATTAGTGCGCTATTCCATGAGAGGAAAGCGTGATTTCCTCACAAAATCAGTGCATCAATTTCCTGAAGCTCCTGCGGGTTTCAACCATGCAAAATGATTGTGCAGCTTCCTTGCACAAGACATGCATTTCTTTGCCCGCTCGAGAAGCAGTTGTTGTTTCTTTCAATCAATGATTTTAACATAATTTAATCAACTACCAGTAAATATAAAAAATATGCATCTAAACGATGCTTCACAAAGTCTAGTGAAGAAGGATGAAAAAAGTACCCCCTGTGCAGCTGTGGCATCCATTTTCTGAAATCTTGCACTCTTTCAATCAAGTAGTGCATATATAAATCGTTCACGATCCACGATAGCCCTTGTAGAACATTTCTTCTGGGGACATCTGAAAACATAATGTATATTGCATATATCACATTATATTGATGCATCATAATGCATCAAGGGCTGAAGCATGTTCTTGCGCACCATTGGACAAAAATGGCACGCCCCCCTATTCGACTGCGCTAGGTTGCATGAATCGTCCAAGACAAACAGATCTGCAGCATATGCAGCTATATTGCGTTCACTTGCAAATTGCAAGTATGGCATCACAAATTGCATACTTTGACTGCACGTCGCGGTATGAATGCGGCATGGTTATCAGGATACGTTGTTATTTACAGTTGAGCAATGCAAGTGTACTGTCGCAGGCCCCCTTCTCAGTATCCTAAAGTGTGTGAATTCACATCCAACGGTGTTTCTTTGGCAGGCGCAGGAGCGAGCCCAGCGAACTGTGATCTTCTCGAAAACAAAGACTCTCAGCATCTCTCGGCTTGACAGCGCATGGACATTCTCCTGTGATTCAAGACAGTTGTGGCCTTTGCTGCCACCAAGGATGTGCAAATTCCACATACTCGGAGCTTGCACGAAGGGCGTTTGGATCTTGGCACATTTTGGAGTTACACAAATGCACTGCACAGTGAAGACATTCTTTATCATTCTTTTATAGCGGGTCTTTTTCATTCTTTTTCCACTGCAATTGTCTTTATGCAGGCTTCTTGCAAATTTGCCCATCAAAAAGAAGAGCTGCAAGACCTTCCAGACTTGGCGTGCACGAAGCTTTGCAACTCGTCTAAAACCATTCCCCAGAAAGGCTAGAGCACTCAGAGTACTTAGAGACCCAATGGTTAGCAGGTTTCGTGGCAGGTATTAGAAAGGAACTGTAGAAACTGTAGCATGGTTCTTTCAGACGCCACTTGCATCACCATTCATACACTTGCAGCTGTTGAGGCAAGATGCTGATAAGCACAGGCAGCCGCCTATGGTCTGTTCCGATGTGCTGTCATGGCACTGGGAATGGTGTCATGCTGTCTTTGACCTTGTGGTCTTACAACTCTGAGGCGCTGCTGTGGCTGCAGTGTGCCATTGCTCCCCGTGCCTTGTGCAGGCTCTTGCGATGACCCTGATTGTCGATATGCTCACAACCGGTCGGAATTAAAAGAGATTCCGGGCTTGGTGAAGATCCAAGAGCTGAAGTTGTCATAAGCTGTCCCTGTATGTCATTTCAAGTCGTTTAGGCTGAATGTGACAGTCCAGCAGATGGCAGAAGATATTTGAGTATTGTGGGTAGACGACTGTTGCGCTAAGCCTTCGCCACTTTTGGATCAACTACGTGAGACGGAGGTGCACAAGAGCAGGGAGTAGATGGGAGCCAATTATCCCAAGATATCCGGCCAAGTTTGATGTGATGATTGATGATAGATGATGATAGCTACATATAGTTGCTGCATTTGCAGGTCTTACGTTACGACGTTGGAAGCCATATGAACCGATTATGTGCATGGTGTATCAGGCTGTTCGCTTGGCAGATGCAGCAAAGGCAGCTGCAAAAGCAGCTGCTGAAAGTGGGGTTGCCAAGTAAACTCGACGAAACAGTATCGCCCGGCAAACTCCAAACTGTCAAGAAGTAACATGAAGTAAAATACTTCGCCGGAAAGTGTGCTTGGAAGAAAGGCTTGTTTGGGGCAGGCACCGAGTTTACGAATATATAATGGAAATTGAACTGTTGATTTCTGCCGTTCGCAGCCCAGAGGAGGTCAATAAGGGTTGCATCAAGGGTTGCATCAAGGGTGCAGAGATCCCGTGTTCCTTTGTTTCGTTTTGTTTCCATGTGTTCATCGAACCTTCTTCCCTCACATGTTTCAAGATGCTTCAACGCCGATGAAGAGACCATTTGCCGCAAAATGCCGTAGGCAACGATGCGCAGCGGCAAAAGAGCAACGAGCAGCTCCAGCAGCAGCTGCGACAACAGCTGACACTGTTGGAGCGCCTCGTCTGAATTGTTTGCATGGCTTGTTACTTGTTTTGGTAGGGACAGGTAACAGTGCCAAAGATGTGACGGCATCGGAACGGATGTTGGAAAGATGGAATCTGAAGATTATGAAGATCTATGAGTACTGTGTAAGAAGTAGCCATAAGTAGCCCATACATTTCAAGAAGGCCTTAACGTCGAATGGGTCAGAAGAGCCGTTAAGCATCTACTGTGCCATCTTAGCGCAGAACAAAACCAAATAATGCCATACAGCCCTGTAAGGATTCTGGGCATTTGCCACGGATTGTAATCATGAGTTGGCCCTTGCAGTTGTGATGAGTGGACACGAAGCCTGGTTGCAGCATGAGGCAAGCAACTGGACCTACTCCGCAAAAGGCAAGTCAGGAGCTGATTCCAGAAGTGTTTGCAGGGCAGGAGGTCGCAGTTTTGAAGCGTTGCCACATCAAACAGCTGGAAAAAGACAAGATGTGGCAATACTAATACCTCTGGCTCTGTTGGGAGGAGTCTTCCAGAGCGACAATGCCGGGCATTGCGCTGCAAGCTGTGCCGACAGCGCTGCCGTCAGAGACCCCAAGTGTGACAAACTCCATCGGAGAGGAAAATGTTCGGTGAAGCTACTCGAGATGATTCTAGAAGCCAATGTGCAAATTCGGTTGGGCCTATGGGCCAAGAGGCTTCCAAGCAAGGCAACTTGTTTCATGGCTTGCCCCCGAACATCAAAATACTATTCATCAAGATTCAAGGTGATATGTGCATGCTTAGAGATTTCACTACCCAAAGCGGAAAGTCTATGGCCCTTAAAGCAGTACAGAACATCCTTTCACATCAACGTGCTTGCCCCATTCCTCATTTGCAAACGCAGTCATTGCCAGCATGTCAGAGGCCGGAAGTAGCGGCTCAGCTCTTCCCAAATTTGCCAATAGCAGCCCGACCGCATTTGAGTCATTGTGATGCGAGTCAGCACTTTTAAGCATGAACATGTTGTATAAGCCCGCAGAAAGTGTCCTGCGGGGCAGAATGCAGTTGACAGGGTGGTGCGATCTTGAGTCCAGCTGCCCTGGATGTTGGAATCCCAGTCGCTAAAGTTGATTCTGCACGGAGAAAGGGATTGAAAATGATTGAATGTCGCAGTACAACATCAGACTCTGCTTTCATTTTGTGCTCAGGCGGGCTTTTTGATTAATCTGCCTCTCCCTCAGACTTGGCATCTGGGACATTTCTGTGGCTGTGCAGTTGGCTTGGCGAATTTCCCCTAGTGATGTGTGGTTTTGCAGGTCAAATGTAGTCACTGCACAGACACCAGCCACAATGCCGTGGGTTGGTGCCTCAATTATTTCTTAGAGACGCTCCGTATCTTCCTATTGGACGATAGGCAAGAGATGGCAAGAGATTGGCCTCACAGCCCTCGGTTCTTCTGTTTGTTCTTCACTACTTTTCCTAGGCAGTCGGACAAGCAACATCACCGGGGTTGGCGCAGTTGCCCTCGAAGAGGTGCCCTTATCTTGGGTGCTGTTTTTCCAACCAGCAGCAGCAGCTATTGTCGTTGGATGCAGGTAGTTCAGAGAAAATGTAGTCCGAAACAGTTCTAACTCCTAAGTGCATAATTGTAGCAATGGTGCTGGTAGCGGCAGTGCCAGTAGAAGTGCCACTATGCGCACTATGTGTGGCGGGAAGCAGAAAGGTTTCTGAGTTGGATGCTTGAGTGGTTAGCCTATGTTAGCCTATACAGACTTATACAGTCTTGCTAGAAGCAGCTCACAGCTGTCCAAAGCCCGCAGGCGCTACACAGGAAAGCATTGCATGCTCGAGCTTAGTAATTAATAATTAGAAGGGGTACGAAATCCGAGGAATGTTTGCTTGACGTGGAATTTTTAAACACAATTTCCTGACAGGCAAGAGCCCTCTCATGCAGCTGCCAGAAACCCAGGATGCCCCGAGACCAATGTTGAAAATGCATGAAAATACATGAAAATGCTACACCATTGGACACTGTGTGAAAGACTTTTTCAGATGTTGGAGTGAAGCCAGCTGAGGCCAAAGCTGCACCAAAGAAGGACGGCAAACACAAAAAGGACTTCACATCCACGGGCAGCAGTCAACGCACCCTGAGTTGACACAATTTGACATTGACAAAATAGAGTTGCCCAGCACAGAGCACACTGCAAAATCTAGCATGCAAGACTTTGCTGATATTTGTGTCCTTGTTTCCCCACGCATTTCCTGGAAGCAGGAGAAGGCCGCTGCAGGCCATAAGCAAGAACAAGGCCCGGCGGCAATCATGTTCACTGCATTAGCTTGTGAGCATGGGTCCTTCATGCGGACTTTACACCATCCAAGCGTTTCGGGAAGCAAGCACAAGCTGCGAGGCAAGCGTGCTGACAATCACAGCGCCGGAAAGGCAGGACGCTGTTGATTACGCTGGCTAGTTTATTGCGAAACTGTTGCAGCAATGAGAGTGTGAGCACTTTGGTGATATCCAATCGCAATCCATACGTGACCTAGCGTGACAGCAGAAACGTGTCCAGTTCTTTCAAAGCTTGGCACATATTACTGTAATGTGTATGTGTATATATATATATAATTATATATATGTGTGTGTGTGTATTATATATGTATATAGGATTATATGGATATTTTGACCCAAGATAGGGCGACGCTTCAGCAATTGGTAGCTCTTGCAGAAAAATGGAGACCTTTGCTTTTTAGCACAAAAATGATCACGAGGTTGGGCGATCAAATCCACCGGCTGTGAGCCACAACTTTCCTCAGGTTTTGTCTTTGGCTAGCGAGCTGCCAAAAACGCACACTGCAGATCAGCAGCATGACCGCAATTATATGTCATGTTGCTCCTTTGCTGGCTGCTATGTGCAGAATCTCTTTCAGAATTTTGTGCACACAATGTGCATACATCGGTTCATTGATTTGCTTCGCTTTGGGTGGGCAAATGCAGAAAGAGTGGCCATTGTTGTTTTCGCAGATTCAAGGCAGACATTAGCTTCCCAAGTCCAGCAGCAGCTGCAGATGCAGCTGCAGCACCAGCAAGAGATTCAAAAACAGCTTCGAACGTGACTTGGTTTCTTTGATTTCTTCGGTTTCTTCGGTGCCTGTGCACCTGATCCCGAATCATCCCGAATCCTGAGTATCCGTGAGATCCTCAGGCAACTTGCGAGTCAGCCAACAACACAGGCTGCTTGTATGCACCTTGCACTGGGAGCCAGATGGAAGTGAGGAGAATGATGTGCCGCAGACTGTTTGAATGCCCACACCCGCCGACGCGATTGAGGAAGCAGAGACAGCAACAGCGGGGCACGGACCGCAGACAAACAGCTGGCAAAGTTGCCGTCCAAATCGTCCAAATCGTCCAATATGCAAAGATACTCAAAGTTTGTGCTCACGAGTTCTATCAAGTTCTCACCCAGATATTTTTGTATGTCTTCCGTCTCAGGTCGAAGCATCGTCAAGAGCAGAAGGCTCCAGCAACGGACCTCGATGCCCGGGCCCTGGATTTGAGCGAGAATCATGGTGAACCTCAGTAGGTGAAAGATGGTGAAACAATTCGATTGGATAATCTATGGTGAAGAGACGTACTATTATTTAGAACAATTACTTACTTACTATGTGACGGGATATGTCATAGCGATTTTTGAAAGCATTTGTCCGAATTTCAAACCGCACACCTCCTTAGCTGAGGCAGAACAAAGCTTGCAGGGACCAGAGGTTGCAAGTCCACACGTTGCGGTGCCTTTGACTTTTGCGATGGGCCCTGGGAAAGCCTTTGTGCTCCAGCCCACTCACCCTATGAGCAATTTTAGTCCGCAGAAGTGCGAGGGGTGTGCTTTAAGGTTTCAGTAGTGCTCTTTCAATAACTTGGTGATCGATGGATATCCGCATCTGTCATGAATAATTACTGTACACCATTTTGGCCCCAAGGCGCCCTCCGACCAAAAAGATCCACAAAGTATTGAATGTCTGTAAACCTCGTGAACTGTAAAGGCAGTTGACTGACTCCTGCTGTGTTGTGTCGAGGACGTTGAATGGTGAATCTATCCTCACCGTCCCAACCACATTGACCCCATATTTTCTGGATTTCACCCAACCTACCCGAATTGCAGCATGAAGTTACGGGAAACTGCACCTAAAAGGGGCATCAAGTATCCATGTTTACATTTTGTGTTTTGGTTCCGTTTCTCCGTGCACGGGCACATTTTGACCCCGCTAAGTGTGCAATTATACAGTCTCAGTATGTTTGAGTATGTCTGCTGTCTGAGTAGGGATTATGCATATTGCAGATAGCAAGAATCAACTCGTGTCCCACTTTCACCTCTAGTCCGTACATAAATGTTCCACATGCCCTCCCAGACAAGGTTGATGCAGACCCAGCACCAGCAACATCCTACCCACGCATCAACACCTGGAGCGGCGGATTGAACGAAATGGAAGAGGCGAGGGTTGTGGTTGTGCCATGTTGTGCCACACTCCGACACCGCCTTGCTGTGCATTGCTGTCCTTCCAGGAATTGCTCGATGATCCAGTGCTGGAGCTAGGACCACTGGAGAAGGTGGCGTGGAATGAAAGGAATGGCATGAAGAGACACGAATTGCACGGTATACCAAGTGCACATGATTCATGATGATTCTCATATATTCTCACTCATTCCTCACGTGCTTGCCATGCTGAAAAAGGGAAAGGAATGGATGCGAAACATAGAGGAACAAGGGTGAGCTCTTGCGGTTTGGCACCCTGCGTGACATTATGCCACAGCACGCAGAAAACAGAAAGATATGAATATGAACATGGCGAACCCAGACCGCAGAATCTTCGACCCACAGTAGTTCCAGAAAACTAAGGTAGAGCAATCACCGCTCGCGATTGGCTTGCATGAGAACTTCCGGCAGATCATGCAGCAGATGGCCTCACAACCACCAACAGCACCACCACAGATCATTTCCGCAAGCAAGGTCTGCACGGACGCACAGATCAAGCATGCTTCGTCAGAATGAAAATCATTCAATTCGATTTCTATGCCATCAAAGCGGTATTGTCGGTTGCTTGGGCAGTTATCCCAAACGTCCAGGAGACACGTGGACTTCATCGTGTTCCAGAGGACAAGCGACTCACTGGGTTGCCTGGCTGCACGCACAAACGATGCAAATGTGTGCACATGTGTGCACGATCTCAAGAATCTCAAGACCTTGCAAGATCTTGAAAGCAGGAAAGGACTTTACAGCAGAATGGTGCAAGCAGTAGACCATAGCATGGAGACAGATTGCATGCGTATGCCCAGCATGAGGCCAGTGGTTTCCCAATGTTTTCTACATAATCTAAACCACAAGTTTGAAATTAGAGCAGGTGCGCCCCATCCCATCTTATGAAAATTAAGTTTGGAATCCTCTTGGATGAGTGACAGTGGTCTCTGTCTACCATCATGTTTGCCCCTCCATAGATATCGCTTGTAGAACGCATTGTGAGAAGCAGTGTGATGTGATAAGGATGGGACGGCAGATCAGTGAGTGCTCGGAGACATCCGTGACATCAACTGACACACCGTCAACAGAGAAGCGCCTCCAGGAGCACCGCCAAGAGGAAGACAGAAAAGAAGGAGAAAGAGGAAGAAAGAAGAGCGGGAGAGAGTTTGAGACATTTTTCATAATATCTTTAATGATAATATATAATATTAGCATATATTAGCCATGCAAATGTAATTCTATAATACTAAGTGATAAGGATGGGACGGCAGATCAGTGAGTGCTCGGAGACATCCGTGACATCAACTGACACACCGTCAACAGAGAAGCGCCTCCAGGAGCACCGCCAAGAGGAAGACAGAAAAGAAGGAGAAAGAGGAAGAAAGAAGAGCGGGAGAGAGTTTGAGACATTTTTCATAATATCTTTAATGATAATATATAATATTAGCATATATTAGCCATGCAAATGTAATTCTATAATACTAAGATATACTAAGTTAGTTAAAATGCATATTTATTTTTATATTTTATATTGATAATTCTTTCTTCCTCCAACCATGAGCCCCCGAGTAGTTCACTGTCGCAGGACACGCCCCTACAACCTGGCAGACGAAGATCAGACAGCTGCGGGCTCATGCCAGGATTAGAAGGACAGAGAGTGCTGGAGAGCACCACAGTGCCCTGAGAATTTGTGAGGCAGAGGCTCATCGCCATTCTCCGCAGTTCATGAAGAGGCAAGGGCGGTTTGCTTCTGGAGCGTGGTTCGTGCTGTACAGAACACAATTGACATAGCAGGACGAGGACGAGACCGAAGAGCCAACCGGGAAGGACAGGTCATCGCTCGCTCCGTAGAGGATGTGACTTCGTGCCAGGTGGCCACCGTGGCCACCGTGGCGAGCGGAGACAGAGAGGGACACAGTAGGCCCAGTAGGCTTTGTGACACTTCACTGCCATGAGATTGCTAAAACACATCAGGCATTCGCAAGCAATAAAATTAGTCGCCATCGATCGGAGCTGTGCCCAACCCGATTTTCACTTACCTTTGCAAGAGAAACTTTCGTCTCCATTCCATGCATTTGCATCGTTTCTTGATGCTTGAGGAGCTCGGGCCTGACATGGTGCCCATCTCTCCGAACACGAAGCTGAATCAGAACTTTGGGGTCCAGAGCTCAGGAACTCTCGGCAGTGCATAGCATGTGGGACACTGACTTCCATGAAACCGTGAAGAAGTTGATCAATCAATTGAGACAACATCCAGTTGGACACCCTTGGCTGCAGCTGATTGGCATAGACTGTGCATCACCAAGGCCATTGTCAAGAACACTTTCCTGGAGCTTCCTTCCGATGATGATCAACCGCCAAGGCTCCGGACGGTTCACACTGCTGCGGCCTTAAAGATCCACAAAAACTTCAGACTACCCAATCCTTGACTGAAAATGGTATGAAGTTAGGCGAGATGAATTCAAGGTTATCAAGGTGCAAGGGGTTGAAATGAACCGACTGAATCGAATGCTGTAGAGTGCCCTGCTCGGAGATGCCAAGGCTGCTGGCAGACTGGACAGCATGGGTGGGCTGCCGTCGAACTCGTCCTTCGAGACCTTGATGTAAAGGCATGGACCAGTGGAATTTGGTGGTTAGCATTTACATGCATTTATATAGTGTAATTAGATCATTTATCGCATCAATATGCATCAATACGCATCAAATTTAGTCGTTCAAGCCTTTCAACATGTGCGGATTTGAATTCAAGAGCGAGATGGACGCAAGGCCACTTTGGCAAGCCCAACGAGGCTGTCCGCAAATCGCTCATGGTGTGGCATTCTGAAACAGGTTCAGTCGTTCTATGTCGTGCCTCTTAATTTCGCATGCCTACTAGACTTCTGCAGTGCAGGCAGCTATGAAAATGCTCCGTGGCAGATTGACAGTGCAAAAGTCACAGCCATCTCGTGAGGCAGACGTTTGAATTGCTCAGTAAACGGATTGTAACCGGACTGTTTTCTGAAATATGCTGAAATGGTATGAAATGGTTAAATTTTGGGCTGAGCTTTGTAGCTGCGCTTTGCGCAGCTCTTGGCTTCAGCCTGGTCCTGCGGACCGTTGGCATGTGCCAGCTTGCGTACAGTGGTCAAATGTCCTGGACGGGACAGCTCAGCAGCTGTGCGCTTCAGTCCTAGCAGTCCCACTGTTTGCGCTTGGAGGGAAACTGGATGAAACTGGCATCACAGTCAAAAGATTCAAAAGCGGTTTCAGCAATGACTCAAATCATTCAAAATCATTCAAATATGGTTTCTTTTATTTCTTTTCTTGGACATTGTGAGATGATTCTCAGGGCACACCTTTGGGCCCTTCCTCCATGGTGCTAAGACAACTGGTAGCCGTCTCTTTGGCCATGTCGAGTCTGGCACATGCACGTGTGCCCGGGCTGTCACACTTACAATATCACTTGCATTGCAACAAATAAAAATAAATAAAGACAAAAGGTCCGCAAGTCCTAAGAAATTGCTGCACTTATTGGATCTTATTGGTGGATATTTGTAGCCGATGAATGCTGATGAATGCTGATGGGATGGCTCAGGGATTTCATGTGCCATCGACATTTTCACTTGGCACGGCGTTTGAAAACCTGCCCGTTTGAAGTGCATTGTTTCAATTGGATTCTTTTTGCCTGAACAGGGATGGCAAGGGTACAGAAGACTAATGTTGACAAAGCGTGTTCACGGAACTTACTGGTTCATGGCACGTGAGTAATTCATGGATATGGTAATTCACCGTAATTCTACCAATGTGTTTCTGATTGAGCGTCACCCGCCATGCACTGCTTCGGCAAGTGTCAAGCTCCCAGAGATGCAATTTTTGGATGATCTCAGTTCGCTTACGGGCGAATTGGATGACACATGTGGAACTCCAAACAGTACAGCTTTGTAATGGTCTAGCACCTTTGGTACGATCATAGTATAATATATCATTGTATCATCATATATCAACATATGGTATACTTGTTTTGTCTTCAGCTGTCGGTGTCTCTTGGAGTGCTTGATGTTGTAACCGACGTCACTGGGTAGTAGAAATCTTCCTTTTGAGGAAAGTTTTCTCTAAGTGACGCAGGAGAATGAATCGCTTGTACGAGACTTTAGGATGATTTAGGAAGCCTAGTCAAGACGGGGTGTAGGCAAGCTGCCACCCTGCTACTCTATAAATGTGGTCGCAGTGAGTGGTGCGCTAGCCCGTCCTTGACATGGCTTCCTCGCGATGGCCTAATGGCAGTGATCATCGCTCGGCGTTTCGCTGACGATGCCGTTGAATGTCAATGTTGTTGGGAAGTCCATGACCAAGGTATTCATGGTTTCAAATTATGATATATATTGTGAGATATATACATATGTATATGTGGTAATGATTGTGCCGAACAATCGGATCAATGGAATACAATCGAACAGACCGATCAAAAGGTGTTGCCAAAGAACAGTCCACAACACTAAAAGGCGATCATTCAGTCCAGAAGACCCCGCGACAGCCAATGTGCCATGCATTGGCCAAAAAAGAAAGTCCGCTACTTGGTGTGACCTTAACTGACCTTAACGATTTTTGTAATCTAAGGATGCAATGGGCAGACTGGGCATACGGAACTGCAAGTAGGTATACCAGCAGTCCATCAGCACAATGTACCTTGTGCACGAAATAGCCACTTTGGTAATAAAGCCATGAGGAATGAACAGCCATGCGCAAAAAATGCAAAGACTATGTATGTATAATTTTGCATGCATATAATATATATATATATATAATAATATATATATATTTATATTATATATATATATAATTATATAAATATATATATATTAATCGGTATATTATGTACATGTACATGTACATATACATGTACCACTGATACAGTGTGAGGAAATCGTCTGGGGACTCCGAGCAAGGAATGCACAAACGCTGGCATCTTGCAACCCATTTTTTTTATGTGTTTGTGTATTTTTTTGGCCATTCTAGCCCTGGGGCAAACAGTGAGAACTCCGTGCATTTTGGGGTTGAGGTGAGGAGTTCAAGAAGGACTGTTCTAGTGGCGGCCCTTTGGCCAAACTACTAGTAGCATGAACCCCCGGGGCAAATCCAACCAGAAATCCTTCTGGCACGCTGCGCCCGACAGTTGATGTTTGCTGATGCTGAATGACACGATTGGTTCTCTTGTTTTGATTTGTTTTGCATCAACTCACCAGGCAATCGCACGCCAGCACCAAAGGGTTTGCTGAAGATAATCCCACAAGGCCCATCACCGCATCACAGCGAAAGGCAGCAACATGCGCAACAAAACGATGCAGACCAACCCCTGTCGTGTGCGATGCTTTGGTATTTGCACGCACTGCATTCAAACCATGGGGGTGTGGAGAATGTGAGGAGCCGATTGAACGTTTTTTTTTAATGAAAATTCAAGATGCACCACTGATACCCTACATGTGTTTTTGATTTGCACTCACGACTCACGCGAAGTCTAGTTTGAGGGTCTGGCAGAGAATTGCCAGACAACACGTTCCAAAATGTGGAGGCGGCACAGGTTTCGTAGATCTTGCTAGAGCAAACATAAATGCCCCTTTTTTCCGGGGTTAACTGAACGGTGGAGTGGTTCAAAATGATGAAAGAAAGGGGGGGCAGGGCGGTACTTTAATTCACGGGCGGTTCTGCAGCAGTTTCAGCGGGTCCCTCAACCTCAGTAAGAACGACCTCGGACAGCGTATGAGCCCCAGACGAGTATGAGTAGATGTTTGGTCACATCAATCATATCCCGTTCTCGCGGCTCTCGCGTCACATTTCCAGACTTTCAGGCCATGATCATCAGCATCCTGTGCTTTGGTGGAGGCATTGTTTTGGGCAGCCACTTCTCTGAACGGATCTTGCCACAACCTTAGAGTTTCAGAAACTCAGCAGTCCATAAGTCCAGGTTTTCGCAGAGGTTGGTGAATTTGAGGATATTTGAGGCAAACATGAGAAGCCCTCAGATTTGATCAATGTGGGGCTGGATTTTCAATTTGTGTTTTGACTGCGCTGCAGGCCAGTCTACAAGTCTGCGCTGGGGAAAACCTATGAGGTTATCATGGTTCATTCATGGTTCATTACTGATCACCGCACTGACTTGGCATCTTGGAATCAAGATAGTATGTCGAGGTCAAGCGGAATTGCTAGGGCATGGGTCCAGGCAGACTGCAGCTATAAACAGACCTTAGAGGAGACAAGGGTTACTCGCAGGTTTGGTACTCTGCAGTCCTGAAGTCTGCACCACCAACTCAACCTATGGGAAACGCCAGGAGCTTGTTTTTCGTGATGTTTGAATTTTGAATGTTTGAATCAATTTTGAGGTCGTGTTGTTCCCATAGTTTGAAATAATGTTGAAACGTACTAGTGTTGCCGCACTTGGTGTTCTGAAATTTGGAAATGTTCCTGTGTTCACCAAGGGACCTTGAGCAAGGAAGGCAATGTCCTTCTGCGACTAGCAGGACAAGCTTTGCGGCTGACCTAGTGATTTGATATGCAGCTGTGGTTGATCATTCTGAGGGCATTTTGTGTTTGAGCATCATCTTACTTGGCAAATCAC